TTGGGGGGCGGGGTTTGAGGTTAAGGCGAGGCACGTGAGGTCGGGTGGCAAGCGCGACTCGGGCGGCGGGGGCGGGGGCTCCGCGGGGGGGGCGGCGGCGGCGGCGGTAGGGCGCAAGGGGATCACGCTGGTGCACCTTCGGCAGATCACGAGCAAGCCGATCGCGCTCAAGGTAACTATTTTAACCGTTGGGGCCGTCTCTGTGATGCCTCCCCTCCCTATTGTTGGTAGGGAGGGGGGGGGCGTCTATGTTGGTGTCCAACGTGTTGCTTTTTGTTTCGCTGTCTGTCGAGAGCCACGTTACCGTGGAACCGTCCATGACGAGGTGAGCAACTGACCTGTGAAAAGTAGTAGCCGCGCTTGCTCACGGCCCTGCACCTCAGCCATAAGTTTCAACAGCAGCAATAGCGGTCGCGTTTAGAAGTGATATACTCTTGTGTGATGGGAGACGCTTATACTTTTTTCGGCGGACACGTGTTATCGTCAGAACCAAGCGGCACCTCCCTGCCTTCTATCGCGCCGGCCATGATGAGCAATCGTATCGTTAGAGCCAGGCAACACCACCTCCGTTTCGTTTGCGCCGGTGTCTGTCTGTGCGGAGAAGATGATGGAGCTTTTCGAGGTGCCGCCGGAGGGCGTGGTGACGAGGAAGGAGTTCGTGAATCGCACCGTCGACATCTTCGTGCAGCGCCGGAGCCTGCAGCTCACTCTCGGCGACTACGAGGTACGTGTGCTTGAGAAAAAAAGGCGGTGGCCTTGGCAGGGTTATTGTATTCAGGAAACATGTTGGGGGAGGTTTTGTAATCAGGAAACATGTTGGATAAAGCATACAATCGGGGAAGGTTTTGTAATCAGGAAACATGTTGGATAAAGCATACAATCGGGGAAGTTGGATTAGGGTTAGGGTTAGGGAATATAGGGTCTGCGCACCCCCTCTCTACTCTATTTCCTAGTAGTACTAATTTCCCGCGAAGGCAGTCCTGAAAGAAAGGGGGGGAGTGCAATGCACTATCTAGCGCACACCAGGTAAGACGAAGGGCGTGGGGTATCTAGCACACGATCTAGGACACGCCACAAGGGCGTGGAATCTAGCTCACAAGCCAGCAAGCTGAGAGAATGGCCATGGGATCTAGCGCACACTCTAGCACAAACCAGGCGTGGGATCTATTGCTGTTGTGAGGTTGCTGCTGCTTGCCGTTGTCGTGGCACTTGCTGATTGCTTGCTGTTGCTCCATGCTATCATGGGTTCGTCGGGTGCGCAGTTTTTAAGGGGCTGGTCTAGGGGTGTGGATGGATGGTGGGCATCCCGAAATCCTTGGCAAACGACAAACGGGGAGACGGTTCTTTTGTTTTCGTTTGTTTCTTCCTCGCCTTGCAACACCCCATGCATATCCTTGGCGTAACGATGACCAGGCGGGGATGGTGATTGTTTATTCTCGCCTTACAAATATATGTGTATGTACGTGTACATTGGCACAAAGAAGACGGGCAGGGATGATGCTTGTCTTTGCTCTCGCCTTACGGCTGTATGTGTACCCGTTGGAAGCAATACGACGAACGGGCACGGCACTCTTGTTCGCGTTGTATCTGCCCTCCCGTCCTTACCACACCCTTCCCTGTTCTTAACCATGTTGTTCTTAACCATGTACGCCGCCCGCCCGCCTGTTGGCACCGCTGCACGCACACCCTACGTGTATACATACATGGCATACAGGCGATCCTGACGAAGGTGGGCTACCTCCTGTCGGTGGTGTCAGCCGTCGTCATCTTCTTCGTCGCACTCCGCATCCTCGGATACGACATCGGCAGCCTTGTGCTCACCTGGGTAAGTCCGTTTTTTTTTTTTTTTGGCTGCAAGAACAGTTTCGATCATCACGTCGAGACAGCTTTTTTTTTGCGTACATTTTCGATCTGGGCACTCTCCTTGTGTTGAAATTTTTTTGCGGTAACCATGAACGGTGGTCGAGTAGATCATGTTGTGCGGGGTGGAGAAGCCTCACTCCGCGCAAGGGGGATGATCGCACCACGTTGCGTTAAAATGGTCGAGCACCCTCGAGGCAGTTACACAGTGCTTACAACTGTCTCTGGAAGTGAAAGCACCAGAAAATAAATTAAGTCATACGTGCGCAGCTGTCATCCGTACGCAAGGAAGTAAGCACAAGATGCCGAACACCCTTAGCAGGATGCAGCTCACCCTTCATGCGACTCGCCAAATACCTCACGGCGCTTCGCGCTTGGTGATGTGAGAGCCTGGTCCGGTGTGAACCCGGCGTGCTCCGTCCCGGCTTTGTAGGGATGCGAGGTCAATGGTCTAACGACTACGGCATGCACGACTATGAGTACACCCCCCCCACCCCCACCCCCCATCGGGATCCAGGGGAAAATGTGGAGGATGTTGAAAAAGATGACAGAATGCACAAGAAGTGCGGTGATGTTGGATGGGGAAATGCGAAGTACGTGGATATACTCCAAGGAGTCGCACAGGGCTGTACGATGTCACCCACTCTTTTTAAGATTTACATCAACGATTTGATAAGGGCGGTTGAAGCAGTAAGACAGGGAGTCCAAGTAGAGGGAAAGAGTGTGTCCGGACTGATGTTTGCAGATGATTTCGTGGGGGTATCCGAAACACCAGAAGGGTTGCAAGAACAAATAGATGCGGCGGTAGGATACACCCGAAAATGGAGACTGTCGGCGAACGTAGGAAAATGCGCAGTAGTGGTCTGTAACGAAGACAAGAAAAATCCCGTAGAATTGAAATGGAAATGGGGGGAGGAAGAACTACCGGTAGTAGACAAGTACACGTACCTGGGAGTAGAGATTTCGAAGGAGTGCTCATGGGACGCACACATAGCAAAGTTGATTGGGAAGGGTAAAGCTCAGATAGGCAAGATGGACGAGATCCTTACGGACCCACACCTAGACACTAGGATTAAGAGGTGTATTCTCTTGAATGTGATTGTACCTAAGCTAGAGTATGCAAGAGAGGTATGGGAAGGTAACGAAATGGCCGTCAAGCAGCTGGAAACGGTGCAGATGGCAGCGG